ATATAATCAATTGATGAATTTAAATGTAAAGAATTTTTATATTGGAGAAAAATAAAGACAATATAACTAATGAAACTATTTCTCTTATTTAATTTATTGATAATGAATAGTTTTTTTTTAATAAAGACATTGCAGACACATAATTCTAAATTAAAGAAATGCATATATTATTTTTTGTTGTAGCTACTAAATTATTATTTAATTTAATAAGAGTAAAATAGAGTATTAATTATGCCAACTTTGATTGGGATGTGATTTGAACCTAAAACCTTTCTTATTGAAATCAATGAGTAAGTTAACGGTGAACTAATAGAATTAACGAAAAAGATAATATTTAACAAAAAAGTTAACGGATAATCATATTCATTAAGGATAAATTAGGAAATCTTAAGGAAAAATTAAAATCTGATCAATCTGAGCCATTCATTTGTTAAAAAATTTGACGACCGAAATTTTTTCTACCCATCATAGGCCTAATTTTCTTGTGCTCTTATTAGTATAATAACTAGTTATGACAAGCGCTTTGCGCGATTAGACCAATGCTCAATCTGTATTTATAAATTAGTGTTCCTTAATTGGTTAAAGTATTCATATAATAATGAGAGAAAGAAAAATGCAAAATTAATAAAAGATAAAGAAATAATCTTGGTGCTTATATATTTTAATAAAAGATAAAGAAATTCGAAATAGCTAAAATAGAATTAAAGTAAGTAAAAACAAATAAACCACTAACTAAAGCTGACTATCTATAATGAAAAGAGTAGTAATTTGAGCAGAGTAAATTAATTTTTCTTAGTACGCGTTTGTTGAGGCTCGGAATTGTCTTCTTATTCTCCATCTTTAGTGAAGTTGAGTTTCTTTTTTGCTGGTTGTGTGTTTATTGCATGTTGTTTACTCGTGGTAGTGAATGACAAGGAATCGTGCAATGATGTTATGGTATATGATACCATGTAAGCCTTGTTGTGTGTAGGATTGAGACCTCAATTGTATTATATATTCTTCATCTTGTAAGCGGTTATTGATATGTTGAAATCGTAGCTGTTGAGCCTGCAAGATGTTTATGTAGTTAGTCATAGGTTAATTTACTGTAAAACATGAGTGGTTGTGGGTGGTAAAGGAGGAATACCTGTTGTTCCAATTGCATAACTTGTTTGCTCGTTAAGAGTAATAGTTGTTCAACACATTTCCCAAACACAGATGCAACAAGGCATCCACTTCCATCAGTAATTTCCACATCCAGTTTACACCTATTATGTGTTTTTAGATTAGCATTGTTGTATTATGTTTGTGTAATGATTAAATTGATACTGACCTCCTTCTAACAAAAAAAAAAAAAAAAAAAAAAAAAAAAAAAAAAAAAAACTGTGTATAATAATTGTCATGAGTAAAAAAAAATGAATGTTAATGTTAAATATAAAATATTGAATTAATATATATCATCATCACTGTAAACTTTTCTTTTGCTTCGTTTTTATTGATGCATGGTTAATATATATCCCTTGTACTTGCTAGACATACCTCATACACGTGAAGTGCTTTCTGGACAACTTTGTTATTTGCCCAGGTGGAGGAGAGTAAATAATTATTTTCCTACATATGTGAATGTACAACTTAATTACCACAAAATAAGAAAGCATAAGATAGATATTATAGAATGAAAGTATATTATATTGGGTTAGATACTTACTCTGCACCAGTGTTGTGGTAAATTTTCACCAACAGAACTCACATCTAGAGTCAGTAAACTTTCATCGCTGCACACCCGTTCTAAAATTTGCGCCTGATTAATCTTTTCAGTACACTACACACAAAACCACACCAACAGTTGTAATTGTAAATCATTCATATGGATCATTGAAGACAAATTTGATATTCATTTATAAGAAAAAACTAACCGTTGATACTCTTTCAAGATTATATTGACATGCAGCATTTCGTGGATGTTCATCGATGTAATGTCCATGGCATGTTGCTTGGACTGCATAGCAGAGCAGCAGATTGTGAAATTAAGCAGACAGGGATAGCTCAAATGATTTAACTTTACAAAATTAATATTCAAATACTAAAACGTACTCGATCAAATCAAATGCCAAATTTTGTGAAACTACCTGGTATAAATCATGTATTCAAACAATAAAAAGTGAATGAGATGAAGGAGCTATACAATTACCTAGAGGTTGAAAAAATTCCCAATCAAAGCATTTTAAATTAAGATTTATAATTGGACCCCAGAAAAGGAAAGGAATCTAAGCAATACAAAGAAATTGTACAAGACATATAATACTCAATAATATTTACTGAACTACAAGAACTATATATTTAATAATAACCTTGCATTCAAAGTATCATGTCAGCCTTTCATTACTTAAGATAGTCTTGAGGCCTTATACTAAAGAGATGCTAGGAAAACAAAGTCCTTGACACAATTGGAGCACAGAATACCTTCCTAGAGAATTTGATTCTAACAGTGATATGCAGCATGATGTAGTAGTAGTAGTACTATATAAAATTTATGCATGTCAAATGGTACATGTACACTTCTTTATACAATACAAGATATTAAAATTTTATATGCACATACACGCAATCACTTGCACTGAAAGATCATAAGCAGATAAACTCCCATCATAACTCCACTGAACAATGCTCTGCCAAATAGAGGAAAAATGGGAATGTTTCGTCACAGGAAGAACATGGGAATTTGATATGACACACGCTTTGTGTGATTAGACCAATGCCCAATGTGTATTTATAAATTAGTGTTTCTTAATTTGTTAAAGTATTTATATAAAAATGAGAGAGAGAAAAACTCATTCCCTATGTTTTCAATTCCTCTCCTCACGACTGGATCCTAATATTATTTGAAATATTTTGTTGTAAATATTATTTTTTTTATGATTAATTATATGGTAGTTGTATAGTATTTCATATATTAAACTTTTTTGTATCATGATCATATCAATTGGATTCTTTGAAAAATATTGATTCAGCAGCAATCAGAGAACTGAACTTTTCTGGTGTTTTTAGATTGTGGATGATATTTTAGTCTTAATGAATCGTAATTACCCTTCATTTGGCCTATTAACTAAACTTGTTATGAATCTGTTTTCACTTCCATTTGGCATATCTACTACTCAACACCTAAAACTTAAATGATAAAAGTTCATTTCATCTCAATATACCAGAAAACAGGAGACAAAAACAGCATTATTGGTGTGCTCATTTAGTTCATAGCAAATGGCAATCAGTAAAAACCAAAGGACAAAGAAGCACTATAATTAGCAAAATACTCAGCATTAAGCACTGTGATTAAAGAATTGTAATTACCTCAATTAAACAAGATGTAGTTTAACTAACCACTGCAATTAACAACTTGCTAATTTTTAAGCACTATAATTAGTAAAATACTTAACATTAAGCACTGTGATTAAAGAATTGTAATTAAACAAGATGCAGTTTGAATTAAATTGTAATTACAAGAATTGTAATTAAACAAGATGCAGTTTGAATTAAATTGAAAAAAGGAACCAGGAAGAGCACTGTGATTAAATAATTCTAACCCGATAAAACCTCAATTAAACAAGATGCAGTTTGAATTAAATTGAAAAAAGGAACCATGAACAATAAAAATTAAACAAGATGCAGTTTAACTAATCACTGCAATTAACAACTTGCTAATTTTTAAGCACTGTAATTAGCAAAATACTTAATATTAAGTACTGTGATTAAAGAATTGTAATTACCTCAATTAAACAAGATGCAGTTTGAATTAAATTGTAATCATAAGAATTGTAATTAAACAAGATGCAGTTTGAATTAAATTGAAAAAAAGGAACCAGGAAGAGCACTGTGATTAAAGAATTCTAACCAGATAAAACCTCAATTAAACAAGATGCAGTTTGAATTAAATTGAAAAAAGGAACCAGGAAGAATAAATTGTTGCTAAACCACACCTCCATCGTCGCTGGTCGAACTGCCACCGCCGGAAGAGAATTCTTTTGCCGCCAAAGGAATTGTCCTTAATCGCCGCTCGTAATTTCTTTGATGTGCTTCTCCGCTGGATTGTCATTAATAGTCGCTCGTAATTGCCTTTCAATTTCACGTAAATTTCAATTTTGCCACCACGCACCTTTGTTTGACAGAAGCGTTAAATTTGACAGTGTAAATTTGGTAAAATTAAGAAGGATTAGGTTATATTAGGATTTGCATTCAAAAAAAAAAAGGTTATATTAGGATTTGCAGTTGGCATTGTACTATTACAAAAGCTCAAAGTACAATCCTGTAGAGCATGTGTTGTACCGACATTTTTTTTTATTCCCGTTAAGGGTCTAACAATATTCGCTCTTATTAAAATTGTATATATATAGATGTAGATAATAATAGATATATGCTATGAAAATAGATACTTTACCAAATATATGGAATTGCAACTATATTATTATATTATAAATCTTAACATATTTTCATTTTTTCTAATTTTTATTTAAATTTATAATAACATAAATTATTGTGTGCATCGCACGGGAAAAACACTAGTAAACATTAAATAACGTAATATCATAGCAAAATTGGATGATGTATAAATTTGTATTTATTAATCTAAATGCGCTACTTTATTAAAATTGAATATTTAGAATGTTAATTTGAGATTTTCAAAAAATTTAGTTGAGTTTGTCTGATAAATTCAAAAACTCGAGCTGTTAGGGTTAGAGATAACATTGTATCTACTTCTACTATCTACTATACTAATAAGAGTCCAAGAGAGTTAGACCTATAATGGGTAGAAAAAATGGCGGTCACAGATTTTAATCAAATGAATGGCTCAGATTAATTAAAAGATTGATCAGATTTAAATTTTACACTAAAATTTCCTAAAATACCCACACACCGTTACTAATTCCGTTAAAATGTTAAGAATTGCCGTTAGTTCACTGTTAACTTACTCATTGATTTCAATTAAAAAAAAAATGTCTTAGGTTCGAACCTCATCCCAATCAAAGTTGGCATAATTAGTACTCTATTTTACTCTTATTAAATTATATAAATAATAATTTAGTAGTTACAACAAAAAATAATACATATGCATTTCTTTAATTTAGAATTATGTGTCCACAATGTCTTTATTCAAAAAAAAAAATTATTCATTATCAATCAATTAAATAAGAGAAATAATTTTATTAGTTATATTGTCTTTATTTTTCTTCAATATAAAAATTCTTTATATTCAAATTTATTAATTGATTATATTCGTCTACATTATCCTTACAATGTCTTTATTCAGTGAAATTTTTTTTATTAATTATCAATAAATTAATTAAAAGAAATATTTTCATTAGTTATATTGTCTTTATTTTTCTCAAATGTAAAAATTTTTACATTCAAATTCATCAATTGATTATATTCACTACATTATCTATTATCTTTTTTTGTGCATTATTTTTCTAATTAAATATCAAAGTTATAATACAAAATAATGCTATATATTTATTTACCAAGTATTTTATTAATACCATGAAAAAATTAAAAAAATATAATTAATAAAGCCAACCATATTAACTACTTGAGAGATTTTGTGACAACGAGAGTATTCAAATCACACAACAAATTGAAGTGAGAACTACCTCGCAATGTCCTTGTTTGACAATCAGCAGTTAGCGGTTAGCGTTAGCGGATTATACTAGCGGATTTGACCAGCGAATTTATTTAATTATTAACATTGGGTAGAAAAAATGACCGCCAAATTATTAAATCAAATGAATGGTTCATATTGTTCAGGTTTTAATTTTTTCTTTTAAGATTTTCTAATTTGTCCTTGTTTGACAATCAGCAGTTAGCGGTTAGCGTTAGCGGATTATACTAGCGGATTTGACCAGCGAATTTATTTAATTATTAACATTGAGTAGAAAAAATGACCGCCAAATTATTAAATCAAATGAATGGTTCATATTGTTCAGGTTTTAATTTTTTCTTTTAAGATTTTCTAGTTTATCCTTAATTATATGATTATCCATTTAACTTTTCCGTTAATTCACTGTTAGTCTAATTCTAATATTAAAGTCTAATATAGAATTATAACTACACCATTAATCTAATTCTAATATTAAAGTCTTAATAGAACTTAACCACAAATCCTAATGTCGGAATCTCCTCAAACAATATTAGTATATATTTAATATTCTATGTCCTAATTTTTATTTGTTCTCCCTTATGTCTCGTATTTGGTTTCAACCATACCTATACAATTATTTTATTGACAATTATAATCAATCTTGACTATATTATCTTGCATTTGTAAACTTAGAATTACCTATTTAATCCGCACGAGCTTAGCTCAATGGTTTAGTGGGTAGTATTTGGGAGAAGAAACGAAGGTTTGAACCTCGGCGGCGGCAGTGCGGGAATTATGTCCAAAGTGGGCAGATTCCTTGTGCGTATAAGCATTTGGCCCTGTCTGCTGAACCATTGAGTCACCGTGATTTACAACTTCCCACAATGCTCTGTCGGGTCGGAGTGTGGGGGGCCCTTGGGGTTGGGGACTCAACCTTTGGGAGAAGAATTACCTATTTAAATACGCAAATTCAACCTTCAATTATCTATGCATGAACAATTTCAATATAATCCTGTCTTAATATACTTTAAAGTACTTATTTAAAAAAAAAGCATTGGGCATTATCCCAATCGCGCAATGCGCGTAAAAAACTAGTTAACTTAATAATTACCAACAATAAAAGGGAATAATTGTACTTTTTATGAGTTGAGTACTTATTTTTATAAGTTTAAAAATTCGATGACGTAATTATATACGATATATTTTTAAATTAAAGGGGTGTTTGATAGGATGGAAAAGTTTTTTCAATAAAAAATATTTTCTTAAAAGTAAGAAAAAATGTTTTTTGTTTTTGTTTTTGTTTTTTTGGTTCATGGAATTCATTTTTCAATTCCTTAATTTGAGGAAAATAAAATCCTAGGTAAGACATACGATTTTGTTTTCCATGGGAATTGGGACGAGAAAAATGATATGACATGACTATTTTACCCTTGTTATTCTTTCTTAACTATTACTCCATATTACTTTTATTACTATTAATAGTATGTATGGGCATATAAGTATTTATACTCATTATTCCTTACAATTTTAAATTCAACCAAAAAATGGAAGCAATATTCCCAATAATTTATTTTTCACCAACCAAACAATGAAATCCATTTCCTAGTAATTGTTTTTTCAAAGAATTTCAATTCCATTCCCCCTCAAATATTTTCCGCGAACCAAATGGGACTAAGGGTCTATTTGATCTTAATCCAATAAATCCCTTCAAAATATCCCTTGAAATGAATGGTTCATATTATTTTGATTTTATTATTTTTCCTATTTTATCATCTACATTCCATCAGTGTAAACTTTAGTAATCGAAAATTCCGTTAACTATTTATTATTCTTAAGTTACAGAATGATTTTCATAAGGAAGGTCTTAGTTTCGAATATCATCCAATCAAAAT